TTTATCCTGAATTATAGATGAATTTATGCATCCATATGCCTTTATTTATAGGTCTGACATCTTTTAGTAAAATAAAATAAAGCCGGAATTGCATAAATGTTCATTATTTTTGAGCTATTTGATTTATGTTTTTGATATGTCGAAATGTTTTTTGTTGATCGGGCAGTCTTACCTGTATAACACATCAGTGCTGATTAGCAATCTTCTTCCGTGTCCTAGTAGTTGTAGTGTATTATAAACGCGATCCTTTAAAGCGAGTCATGATCCTTTAAAGTGAGTCATTACATAAACGAGTTGATTATTTCAAAGTTATAATGATCAGTATAAGTTCAATCATGGGCTTTCAACTTGAACTTATAAAACGGTATATATACGTAGATGATAAACGTATACAGTTGGATCTCCGTATAAAGCTTTACTTACATGTGGTGGAAACAATTGACCATAAGCATTTTTTTTAATTAATTGGCTGAGTAGGAACAGTATCCAATCAAATGCTTTAACCATCAATTTGAAACACCAATCAAACCAGTAGGTTCTAGAAATTCCTGGAAACGACCCATTCAGTAGCTCAACAACTGACATACAGGGTGTTTCATAACGAGCATCTCGAAAAAGTCAATTTGAGAAGAAATAGGTCTATAACATATGTACTATATATGAGCTTATTTTATTCTAGACAAACTCATTTGGATCAACTAAACATGCTACAATTCAAGAAATTACAAATGGTATCCATTTGACCTTTATTTATTACAGTCCGAGAAGATCTTTCCTGACGAAAGCCCACATTATGAAACACCTTGTACTTTTATTTATAAGTATAAGTATACGTTATAAGTTGTACTTTCACGTATGTGCGAAATCTCTCTATTTACTTTTAGACAATACTGATAGAAAATAATTTTTGTAAATTATAGAATTTAATACAATGTAGTGTATCAACTGATAATACCCTCAGTTATGCAATGCCTGGTAAGTGAAAATAATTTGACATGTTATTTTCTCATAGGGCAAGAAAAAAATCAATAATTGGAATTGTATATTGGCAGTTGCATTCTATCATTTACATTTATGATTTTAATCAGTATTGTCCAGTACTTATAGCTCTTTTATAAACTTGTTTGCTAGTAAAGGAACCCTTCTGATTGCCAAACTTATGGAAGTGAAAATAACATCTTATACTAAATATACCTTTTCTTGAGATACCGTCCCTGAATCTAAAGAAATGGAACAAAATAAAACATGAACATTACATTTTTTACACTCAGACACATACTTACATTGCTAATATCAGTTAAGGTGCTAACAGAAAAACAATCATACAGTCGCACAGTTGTTTTTCCTAATTTGGATATCCTATGTAATCAAAGCTTATTAAGAATAGTATCATAGAAAATGTTTTACAGCTACGTTAATTTTAAGAGACACGATATCCAAATTAAGAATAAATAGTACCGTGGGAACTGGGCCCACATGGTGTTGCTCAAAAGTGAATGATGGCTAAAATGGCATAAAATAAAATAAAAAACGGACATAATTCTTTGCAGATTTTTTGTAACAAAATCATTTCATATAACTACTTTTTACAATGCAGGACACCTGAAATTACTTATAAAGCTAGCAAATGGTCCAAAGGTGAATTTTGTGAGACAAAATGGTGGCCATTTTGAAAATAGGCAAGCTTTTGAATCAGAAGTCAGAGGGCGTTTTTTATATTATGTTGAACAAAAATAACTTAAAACGGGAATCCTATCGACAGACCTTAGGCATGGACCTATATCCTGTTCAATATAACGTATATAAAGGCAATCTAGGAGTATAACAAATTTCCAATGTGAATATTCAGACTTCTTCCGGGAAGTTTAGGCGGCTAATAACTACACGTGCATGACGCGTGAGATTCAAACTCAATAAAACGTGGATCTGCGCATCGATCTTTGTAACGTTATTTAAATTGTCATAGATATAATTACACTTCATTTATACAAAATTCTATATACATTATGGTAAATTAAAAGGTATAGGACTATTAAAAGTATGGCTGACAAAAATACTAAATATATGCGCTTGGTCGAATTTGCGCCAAGCAATAGATTGGTTGTACACTGTAAGACTGCCCGATCAACAAAAAATCGCTTCGATATATCAAAAACAACACTCAAATAGCTCAAATGAACATTATGCAATGCCGGCTTTATTTTATGACGAGACAGATGTCCGATCTAGAAATAAAGGCATATGGGTACATAAATTCATCCATAATTAAGCATACATTGAGATAGAATAATGTTTAAAAAATGTTAAAGATTTAACTCTTTAAAGACTGGGTCAGGACACACGTACGTGGGTACGAGGGTACGTGGGTAGGAGGTTTTTTATACAAAGCCATACATATCTGAATAGTATATTCAATAAGGTTTACGTAAAATAATAAGTATAATTCCTTTTAGATAAAGTGGAAAACAATATTTCCAATGTGATTTTCCCAGGGAATACTCATGCGATCTGTTGCTTTCAGCTAAATTTTCGTTTCCCATAATGAATATCTTTAAAACCTCTGAAGGAATTACTCATTCCTTTAAACGGGTTAACTGTGTGCCAAAACACAAACATATTGATGTAACAAAAATTGAAAAAGCAGGGGTGGAAGAGGTTGAAAATCAGGACAACATTTCATAAAAAAACATGTGGGTTATTATTGTATCATCTCTACGAGTATGAGTGCTTTTCCTGGAGGGAATGCACTGGCCTAACATATGCACCTGTTTAAATCATCAGAAAATAGCCAAAATCTAACATATGTCTGTCCGAAATCTATTGCGATACTTTCCATTCTCCTTTGATAATAATATATAACTATTTTGCATGCAACGTGTTTAGTTCCTTTCGTAAACAATTAGTCATTTTTGAAAATCATTTTCCAACTCCTGTGTTATCTCAATGGGAGAAGGTTTTATAAAAATAAATTTGACTTTTGGGACCTATAACTCTGTTTGAACCTGAAGAAACATCAAATGTTCAATATAGTAAGCATATTCACTTATTTGCGATAATTCGGCTGTATGGACATTCTCTCATATTATTCATGACTTTGGACAAACCTACCATTCTCATTACATGGAAATGTCGAATTTTAAAAATTCATCGGAATTGTCATTAATTTCCTAACATTGTAATCGTTCAAAGAAATAAGGAAAAATATAAATTTAGGAAATGATGTCAAATTATATTTCCTCATATCTTTGTCATTTTAGGAAACTACTCCCTGGTATTTAGTAAATTTGCACATCATTTTCTACCAGCCTACCATATTTCATGACCGTCAGACTTATAGCAATAATATTAGAGTACTTTTAAACAACATACTCCAGTGGCCACTATTCACGGTGTTAAAGTATGACGGTTACGACAAGGCGATTTGCAAAATTTTGCGGTAACGATAACAAAAAATGGCGGATGGGAAAGACAGCATGTCCTCTTTTTCGCCTGAAGGCAAGATTTACAGATAAGGTTTCCTTTTCAACTAGTTCCATTCGGTGACGTATATATGGATGGTTATAAAGACTGGGTCAAATCTGCCAGGTGGTTTCCTAGAAGCAGAATATAAGCTGTAAACTTACCGACTGAGATATCCAAGCTCATAATTTTTAGTCCATTCTCGTGTTTTCTCAGTATATGTGCCTCAGAAGCACTCAAACTACCAACTGTAAGTAAACTGTGTATAAACAAGTCATAACATGACAAATCCAGAACAGGAACGTGGTGTATATTGTAAATAATAAGGTTTCAAACGCAATGTCGTTAGACGACTACGTATGGATTTAATGGACGGTAACGTATTGTATTAGTTGTACATTAGATATTTAGCGGACGGTTACGAGCATGTACACCTTTGCTAGTTCTGATCTTGTTTGAGCCTTGATAGGGCAAAGAAAAATGTGTGTCTTATTTTTGTGTCTTTATTTATAAAACCAATGAAAATCAAATAGATAGCAATGAAGAGGCAAAAGAAGAATTAGCATCAAGTACTGATGAATATGACAAAATTAATAATCGGGGATACATATTTGAACGAGGTTCGCGTAACCGTTCATCATTTTTTTGCGCAACCGCAAATTCAATGGCTTGAGTAGAACATATTAGGTGGTTTCCAATGCTCAATTGGCTTTTTATGATCGTCTGTAGTTTACATCTATATACCCCGAGGTCGTTAGGCAATGTAGACCATGCCCTAACGACAAAAATAAACAAATTACTAAATTTTGTGTAGTTTTGAATTTCAAACTAAACAGTTTTCGCTTATTTCATGTTATCCCGGGCATCAATTTGCAAAGACTACGTTCAAAATATACATTACTAAATGCATCACCGAATGCGATGCTTACATAAATCGTTCATCCTTTCATTGATACACAGTAGTAGAAAATAATGCACCAACCTTAGTTTTCTGTTCCATCGCGGCCATTTTATTGGATAAATTAGTGAACGTAGCCGTCCAACCTCGTTTTCAGAGGTGGCGTAACCGTCATGCTATATAGCAGGGTGCTATTGTGCTGTAGGAAAACTTGCACATATCGTCCACAATGTCCTATCTGACTTCTACCTGTGGAGATGCGCCAAAGTTAGAGTGTACATGAATGACCTCAAGACAACTGCAGACAACCAAAGAGAGATCATCTGTGTCATTCAGGCCATGCCTTTTGAGGAATGGAGTCGGGTCATTCACAAGTTTAGTAGGTTGCCTACAGTGTGATGATGGCCAAACCTGAATCATGTTGTTTAAAGTGCTTTAACATCATGGCTTTCAGTTTGGTTATGAGGTCTGGTAGGGTGGTAGGAAAATGAATGATGTACAAATATGTAAAATATCAGGGAGTTATTCCTGATATGACAAAGACAAAATGACAAAGATATGAGGAAAATACAGGAATGCAGTAATTATCACACTGTACGAAGATTAACACTATCTATATACCAACAATTAAATAGCATTTTACCTTCTGGTACGCTGGGTAGGACAGGAGTTTTTGACATTGGCAATCCGGCTGAAGTGCAAAATTAGTACGATGTATACAGTATGCTTTTATTAAGTGTCAACTTGAGGTTGATTAGAAAATGGAATTTCAAAACATTTTTACGATAACAGTAAAACATTTTATTTACCGTATATAAGTTTGAAACTGGCGTCTTTTTTAAATAGGTCAGTGTTTTGAAATTTAGATATTTTCACTCGTAAACTCCGTTCTCTTATGAAGTAGCCAATGTAGCTGACTGACTCAAACGTCACAAATCCATCAAACCACAGGTTCTGTCGTATTCTGTTTAAATATAATACTACATCAAGTTGACATCGGGGTTATATACAATTTAGAGTAAATATACATAATGTGCAATTAGCAAGTTCCAAAGTTCCATTGTCAATTGAGTAGAAATATACAAGCCCTGGAACTATTCATTATGTCATTTAAGTGCCATGTGTGAATAGATATTCACACATAGCTAGGCAAGGTGTGTTCTATTCAAGCCAATCCGAACAGAGTATTCGCATAATGATCAGTGTGTGAAATATCAATAACACATGCATGGTCACTAGCCCAACAGTTTTCATGGTGATGAATGGATTTTTCACATTGGATTTGATGACTTGCCAACTTGAAACTTGCAAAAGTTTTCTTGAAAATATGTTATTTTGGTGATTTTGATCCTTTTATATGATCTTATAGAAAAAAATGTGCAATGCGTGAAAATAATTTAACCCAAGACTCAATGCATTGTAGCTGCTTCATTCCACTCAGGCGTTGTTTCCTAAACTTCCACTGCGCGGTTATGCAAAGGTTTGGAAACAAGTCACCTTCATGGTATGATTCAGCAAATAATGCATTGCGTCCAGGGCTTAAATCCTTTATTCTTTGTAACTAGGAAAGGTGTGTCTGATTCCAACCAATCCGAACACAGTATTTCACATAACAAAAGTGCATGCAATAATCAAAAAACACGCTCAATGTCACTAGTTAAACTCACATTGGATTTAATGACTTGCCAACTTGACCCTTGCAAAAAATATCATTGAAAATGTGTTCTTTTAGTGTTTTCGTTCCTTTTGGACGGCTTCGTAGAAACTACTTTACGAATTTAGGCCCAAGACTTATTGTAGATGTTTCATTTTACTCAGGTGTTGTTTCTTAAACTTTGCATCCCCGCTGCGCGGTCATGCAGATTTGGAAACACCTCCATGGTATGATTCAACAAACAATGCACTGAGTCCAGGGCTTAAATCCTTAATTGAAATTTAATGGTAGATATGTGTTGGTGAAAATTGCTTCTTCACAACGCAAAAAATTAAAAGATTAATTGAAGGTAATGTAAAAGGGATTTATGTCCTCTGTGTTCCCTGTCCCCAAATCAATAAGCTTAAAGAGATCCAGTCGTCCAGATTTCTCCTCCGGACAATCAGCAATGTCCCAATATAATTGCTCATAAAACATTATATATACCTTGGATATATCTTGAAACCAAATAAGCACAGTATCACCAATATATTGAGGAAATCAACAGGACAACCAACAGAACAACCAATTGTCAGAATTGAACGCAATAAGTCTACAACAACATACAATGTTTTTTGGGGATTTATATATATTTTAACCCCTTAGAAGTAATAAATATGGCTTCTCCGAGCCAATACAATATGTTGAAACTGAAGAAAATAGCCAATTAGACTGGATCAAATTTGAGCGGGCTTTTTAGATTTTATTTCGAATTTCTTCTGATGAAATTAGAAATTCATGGCTAGGAATAATCATCAAATTGATACTGTTAACGAATTAATTCATGCCCCAGCATTGGTAAGTTGATGAACAAACTTGTTTTACAACACGAGAAAATCAGGGGGTTGCTTTAATTGCGTTTTTAGGAGACTCGATCTGTTTAATTCCTCAATTATCTACTAATTAGTACAAATGGAAATTTCATAAAAAGGTACAGCAAAGGTATATAACAAAAAAGAAACCTGAATGTCGAGCCCAGTGCAAATTCATCGGGATGTTCCAAATGAAGATAGTGTCTCGAATTGTTGCCATTCTTGCTAGACAACTGAAATGAGACAGTCTCATTCTGGAATGCGATGCCTGGTTGCACCATGAAGAATATGTCTCCTTCTTTAACGAAGCACAGTTCATTTTTAGCATTGATTCCCCATTCGTATATTGGGTAGTTGTGGGATTGGATATAGTACGGCCCAGTAACTGCAAAATACGACTTTCAGTTTTATGCAAAATAACATGCAGACAATACATACTCATCGGATCGAACTCCCGTGCAGTGATATATCACTGCGGCGGGCAGGTATCTCACCGTAAGCATGGTAACTTCGAATCGTAATAAACAACTGACGTGATTGGTTCTAGTCCCATGCTCGGGTCGCGTGATTGTAAAATTTAGACAATTTCATTGGTTGAAAATTGCGCGTATTAACTAATAAACAACACGTGCGGTAAACTATTATCAACACAACTTTTACCGAACTCCCGTGCAGTGATATATCACTGCGGCGGGCAGGTGTCTCACCGTAAGCATGGTAACATCGTAATAAACAACTGACGTGATTGGTTCTAGTCCCATGCACAGGTCGCGTGATTGTAAAATTTAGACAATTTCATTGGTTGAATTGCGCGTATTAACTAATAAACAACACGTGCGGTAAACTTTTGTCAACACAACTTTTACTCAGAATTCCTTCCGCGGGGATTTGCTCTTATATTTCATTGATTTTGGAATATTTTGACAAAATAATTATTGGTGAACATAAAAGAACATATATTTTATAAGTTGTGTGAAAAACAAGTACATCTGTGACAAAAGGGGGGACTATCTTCCCCAAATTTTGGGGATTCCATAATCTGCCCGCCGCAGTGTCTATACCGAGACACTGCATAGGAGTTCGAACTTTTACTCAGAATTCCTTCCGCGGGGATTTCTTCTCATATTTCAATAATTTTGAAATATTTTGACAAAATAATGTTTTGGGAACTTTCATGAATACATATTTTATAAGTTGTGTGAAAATTGACCACATATATGATGAAAAGGGAAACTATTTTCCCCAAATTTTGGGATTTTCTTCATCTGCCCGCCGCAGTGTCTATACCGAGACACTGCATGGGAGTTCGTCATCGGATATATGGACAAGACTGATAAGCCGAATATAAAATGATATAACTTCATTATCAGATTTAAGTGTTGCCAGAAATACTTCCAAAAGTTATACTCCAATATTTTCACAATTCAGTCGAGATAGATATATAGATTCTCGAGATATAGCATATTTATCAACCCGATTTTGTATGCATATGTATATAAGCATCTTATGTTTTTAAAAATCCAATTGATTTCGCACAAAATAGTTCGTAGGATGACATAATCTTCAAATCGATGATTCTATTATTTTCTGAACTATTTGTTCGCAAAAGTGTAAATTTTCTTAAATATATGATACTGACATACGTTTGTGATGAAAATGTGGTGGGAATTCTGCCTGCAACTCGTGAAATAAGGAAAAGAGATTCCGTTTTGGTAACTAGTTTGGAGAGTGCAGTACCAGTGACTGATCTGCGTATGTTAAGTTTATTTGTTTCAGGAAGACAGCCTATCCAATTCAAGCTCAGGGCTGACAAACCATTGGAGGAAAAACTAAGATGTACCGTTGTGGAAATCTTCATGGGCCCTTGTGGTATAGAATCTCCAGTTCGCAATTGCATTATAGTAACTTTTTATCCCCACGTGTTTGACGTCCCATATGTTTGACGTATCCGTCCATTGTATGAACTGATTAAAACCTACGCGCATGCCTTTTCCTGCAGAGATCGTCAAGTTTGAACCACTTTTTGACCAGCTCACCCAGAATGGCAGGTATTGGTCGCAATCAACGATCCCATATGTTGGTATTTTATGGTTTATTGGAAATGTATGCCAACCTTTTTTGATCATTGAAAAGTTGTTGCCTTTACTCCCGAACTCTACCTAATATGTAGAATGTCAATGTACAATTACAGTGATGTTTATGATATATGTGTTATGGGCCAAAACTATATCTGTCCCGGCAAAAACAAGGCGCAGCCAATTCCATGGTTGCCATTTTTACAAAATCTTCCCACTTCTTTTTTACTTGCATCAAAATCGTAAAATATAAAGCTCATACAAATGGCCACAAATTCTAAAAATGGCTCCTCGCTAGCCAAACATGATAATAACATGCTCTTAAGTATGCATGTGCGTAACACACACATTAAATTGGCCACCAATTTGTCCAAAACCGTTTAAGATCCTGTTATCGAAGTTTGCTGTTATGGGCAATTTTTAAAAATGGCAGCCATTTTGTGTTTTTTTATGGATTTCAATGGGATTTAACACGCCTTGCTGTTACTGTTATTTAACTTGACTTATTTCGGAACAACATTAAATATAAAATTGTAACAATGTAAGTGGGTAGGGTTTGGAAGCACCTAAATATGAACAAGATAATGACATTATTCTTATAGCTATACATATTTTAGTACACTCCATATTTTTCTGTTGTAAGAAATTAAACCTAATGTGTTGGAATTACCAGGTAAAAATCCTCAAATTCCTCTATATTTCGGCTCATTATGAAAGCAGCTCCCCTACATGTCATGAGTTCAAATCGCACAAAGCTCTGGCCCATCAGGTCGTTATTATCGAGTATATAGTAGACCCTGTTA